GGGGGGGGCAGAGAGGAGGGAGGGCAGAGAGGAAAGGAGACAGAGAGGAGCGTGTTGGGGGGTAGAGAGGAAGAAGGCCACCCTTACTTGGAAGCTGTTGACCTAAAGCTTCTGCCCATAGCCCTTGGGCGGGGTCTTGTTGGGGCCACCACAGAGGCTGGGTCACGAGGGTGGGTCCCCAGTACCCCCCCACCCCCCCACCGGCCCCCTGCAGAGTTGCTGGAGAAGGGCAGAGTGTCCTTGCTGGTCCCTGCTCTGGGTGTGGCGGCTGGCTCTGAGCTCACCCTGTGGACCACCTCACCTCCAGGGGCTGTCACCTGCCCTGCAGGCTCTGGCCTGCGTGGCCAGTAGTGGAGGCCCTGCCTCATGCTCCAGGCACCTCAGACACAGCCTGCCCTTCCCGCCCCCTGCCCTTCCCGTTGATGGCTGGGTCCAGCTACATGTTGCCGTGGTCACTGCTGTCCCCTCAGGCCCCAGGTGTTGGTGATGTTGAACCTGGATGCTCAGCGCTGTGTGAAGCACCCCCGCCTGCTGTCCTTCGCCTCACAGCTGAAGGCCGGCAAGGGCCTCACCATCGTGGGCTCAGTGCTGGAGGGCACTTACCTGGACCAGCACCTGGAGGCCCAGCAGGCTGAGGAGGTGCGTGGGCAGGTGGCTGTGTGCGCAGAGGACAGGGTGTGGCACACGGAGGGCCACCAGTGTGCCTCTGCCTCCACGGGGAAACAGTCCTGTGTGCCGCGGGGCCATTCGCGTCACAAGGGCAGGTTGCAGGTCTGAGGGGCAGGCGTGAGAACCGGAGGGACCCAGTCCTATGCAGCGCAGAGCCCCTGAGGGGCTGCCCAGCCTTGACCTCTGCACCTGGAGCCCCTCGCCACAGCCCAGCCTTCCTCCAGGGTTTGACCACCAGCTTGACCGAGCGAGGGCCTCCGCTGCCCGATTCTGCCCATCCAGCTCCGTGAATGGTGGGGTGTGGGACCCGCGCCTCCCGGGCTCAGTGCTGTGCTGACTCCTTCTGGCCCTGGTCTGGTGGCTCTGTGACACCTGGGTTCCCACGACGGTTCTTCATTTCCTACCTTTGCACCTGTGTGTTGGGGGAGCCACAAACCTCAAGGCATGGGGGCCACCTGCCTCGGCTGCCTCTGCAGCCCGGGTCCTGTCACCTGCTGGCCCCTCCCTGTGACGTGTTGCATTTGGAACTGGGTCTGCTTGTGGAGCCCTGGTGCCAGACCAGCTCAGGCCTTCCGCTGTTCCCTCTGGGCAGTAGGTGTGTCCACCTTTTCCCTGGGGCTGGGAGTGCCTGATCTTGCTGGCATGTCCTGCAGGGTGCCCTCTGCTGTCCACGTGCTCAGCCTAGCACTCGGTTCAGCCCAGGTTGGTGGCCTGTAGGGGGGAGACCGGGAAGAGGGTTGGCTCCAAGGCTCAGAGCCTTTGGGGAGGCAGGAGAGGCCAGTGGCTCTCAGCTCATGGCACTCTGGGGGTCTGGCCCCCGGCTGCCCTTGCTGTGAACCCAGAGTTAACCCAGGGCTGTTGTCCCAGAGCTTGACCGGCTCCTGTCGGGCCCCAGGGGGCTCCTCTGGTGGCTTAGCCTGGTGGCTCCCTGCATCTGGCCCAACAGTTGTCCCTGTTATAGGAACGGCCTGGGCCCATACCTGACCATGGCCTTTCTTCTGGGGTGTTGGGGCCGGCGCCCAGGGCCTCATGCCAGCGTCTGCCGCTGCGCCACACCTGGTCCTGGGCAGCTCAGGTGTTTAAAGGGCCTCAGCGGGGGATGTGCTTGGTTCAAGTGGAGGCCCAGGCCTGTGGCCCTGAGAGCCGGCTTCCTTATTGATCAGCAGAGGCAGCAAGCAGCCGTCCAGGGCCCATCTGTGCCCAGGCCAGCGTCAGGGGCTGACATGCTTTCCCTAGGAGCTGTGTGCTCTCATCAGACTTTAAGTTAGTGGCATAAAATCGAGAACAATTTCAGAAAGTCTTTAAGTCACAAAAGCTTCTCTTCCGTGTGACTCGTTGGAACCCTGGAGTCAAAATCCTCTTCCCTGCCCTGCTGGCACGAGGAGAGGGCGTGGTATGGTCCCGCTGCCCACCTAGCCCAGAACCCCGTCTGCGGACACCTGTCCAGAGCCTGCGGCAGGGGCACCGATGCCCTCCAGTGGCCTCCTGGCTGAGACACGGCTGTGGTGGCGTCCTGCTCCATCCCTCAAGACCCCAGGCTGCCCGCGGCCGGCTCCCCTTGGCAGCGTGTTGGGCAGTTTTTGACTTGAGCTAATTCTAAGGGGGAGCATGTCTGTGGTCCCCACATCTCTGCCCTGCCCTGGGGGGTCGGTGTGTGACAGAGGCATCCAGAGAGTAGGCCTGGAGGTGGCGGGAGGGAGAAGGAGGGTTTTGCTGGGTACGTGGCTGGGGAGCCCCCGGTGAGCTGAGAAGCCCAGTAATGTCACTGCAGGGCTGGTGCAGGTGGCAGCTGGAACTGCACAGAGGAGGCAGAGAGGTGGCCGTGGCCCCCACGTGAGCCTCACGTGGCCTGCAGTAGCTTGTCGAGGGTCTGCAGACAGTGTCTGAGGTGCAGGGTGGCCAGGCTGCGTCCTGAGACTGCTTCCTGCCGTGTCTGGCTCCAGGCTGGTCCCTCCAGTCTGGCCTCCGTCTTTCCCTGCTGCCAGCCCTTCTCTGCGTCCAGTCTCTGCTGACTCCTACACGGACACTTGCTGCTGGATTCGGGTCCAGGCAGGTGATCAGCATTCTCACCATGAGAGTTCCAGCCACATTTGCAAGGACACCTTCCAAATAAGGTCACATCTTCAGGTTCTGGGGTTGGGACATAGCCATCTCTTTTGGGGCCACCATTTAACCCTCTACAGTCCACTTCATGACCCCCCAAGTTCACATCTCATGTGTGCAAAATGTTCATGACATTGAGACGTCACCAAAAGGTCCAACTGCTGCTGCGTCAGCTCAGCCGCAATCCCATCCAGTCCTGCCTCTGCACCCCCTGGGTGGTATCCTGCGGCTCGGAGGGTCTCCGTGCTGGAAATGTGGACAGCGGGTCCCCGTGGCAGGCACTACTGTTCACAGGGCAAGGTTGGGGGAACCAGGAGCACGAGTTTGGAGCCAGCCCGCCAGAGCCCAGCCCCATGGGTCCCAGGAGTCCAGCGGCTAGGGCAGGAGCCACGGCTTAGGGGTACATATCATGAATCGTGCGTGTCCAGCCTCCCCTTGACATCTGGCTGCTGGGGGTCGCTGCTGGGCAGACGCAGCCCTGGCAGAAAGACAGCAAAGTGGTATTGTCCAGCTTCTTGTTCTTGGACCCCCACGCATTCTTCTGCAGAAGTCATTAGGTCCTACTGACCCACTCAGGTAGTGTCTGTGTGCTGGGCATGTGGCCCGTGGCCCAGATCCCCTGATGGTGATGTGGCGCGACACAGCTCTGAAGAACCGCCGGGGGCAGGTGACCCTCCTCGGCACCTGTGCCTGGTGGTGTTGTGCACACCTGCTTGCTGTGCCCGTCTTCCTCACTGTGCATGCACAGCTGATGGCTGCAGGCCAGGGTCCCGTGGGGGCCCCTGGTGCGTGCTGGTCTGGCCGCCCTTAGGCATCCCTTCCGTCTCCTGCAGAACATCCGGTTCCTGATGGGCCTGGAGAAGACCAAGGGCTTCTGCCAGCTGGTGGTGTCCTCCAACCTGCGGGACGGCACGTCGCACCTGATCCAGTCGGCCGGCCTGGGGGGCATGAAGCACAACACGGTGCTCATGGCCTGGCCCGGGTCCTGGAAGCAGGAGGACAACCCTTTCTCCTGGAAGAACTTTGTTGGTGGGTGTGGCAGCCAGCACCCCTCAGCCCTGCTGGGTGTGGTCCCTGCCCACTCGGGTCTCAGTCTCCAGGCCCGAGCGTGTTCCTTGGGGCCATGGAAGGCCTGAGCCACACTGTCACCAGACAAGTAAATGGCCACTGGGCAGTCTTGAGGCTCTCCCTTCCCTGGAGCCCTGTCCCCAGGTTGGGGGTCCCCAGCCTCTGACACATAGTGTCTGCATCTGGGCCAGGAGGACCTGGTGATGTGAGGGCCCTTCAATGCCTGCCCTGGGCGGGGGATTCATGGAGACCCTGCCTCCATGCCGTCGTGGGTCAGCCCGCCCTCAGTGACCCGCTGCCGCCACTTCTCTCCACAGACACTGTCCGCGACACCACAGCGGCCCAGCAGGCCTTGCTGGTAGCCAAGAACATCGACTTGTTCCCGCAAAACCAGGAACGCTTCAGCGAGGGGAGCATCGACGTGTGGTGGATAGTGCATGACGGGGGCATGCTCATGCTGCTGCCCTTCCTGCTGCGCCAGCACAAGGTGGGCAATGCCCGGTGGCGGGGTGGGGGGCACGCTCATGCTGCTGCCCTTCCTGCTGCG